GCAGTTGTTACTGCGCAGACTTTTAGTACTTGTATAAGCAAGTACTAAATGACAGTGCAGTAACTGGAGTTACTGTGCAGTCGCGTTGAGGAAAGGCTTTTTTGTGACTCTGACTGCACAGTAGCTCGTGACTGCTGTGCAGTAGCATCGCATCATGCTTCCCACCACTGCACAGTCAGCATCTTATGTAGCTGTGGCTGGAGAGACTTAGGAGTCTTGAAAAGACAATTCAGAGAAGCTTGGGATACCTAGAGCTAGATAATAGGAAACACTAAGGATAGGGATGCATCTGAGGCTTAATGTTAGACTTAAGACATGATTCAACTGTTAATCATGCCACAGATAATCCTGCCACATGTTCAGAAAATTAATGGAATGAGAAAATGGGAAATCAGACACAAAATATTCCACAAAAATATGCATAATAATTGTGTGGCTCTTTTCCACTTCACCTTAAATTGAACCTGTGGCAAGAAGCCCTACCATGCAGCCTGATGCCAAGTGCATGGCAGGGCTTGGGTGACAGCTCCCCACATGTCAGCAGACTGACAGCTTGCTGTTTTGGGGATGTTGAATCGAGCGGAGCCCATAAGCTAAGCTAGGTTGTAGGGTCTCCACAAGAATGTACCTTGCTTATCATCCCCTTTGGGAGCTGGGGGATGAGGCAAGGACCATGCCAAGTTGAAGTGAGCTGTAGAGCATCTGGCAACCCAGCACATTGACTACTTTGCCCTGAAACTCTAGGGAGCTGTGGAGGATGGTATCTGATGCATCCTGGCCACAGAGACTGGGGTCAGGGAGAGGTTTCCTGATTCTGGAGTCCCCATATGCTAGAACCTTTAGCATATAACACATGCAGGTTTTTGACATTCTAGGTGCTCAGGGATCCTAGGATCAGGGAACCTTTCCTTGACCGCAGAGTCCTGGTATACTGGGACTTTGCAAAACCACATGTGCAGGTGGGCTGCACACAACGTTCTCTGATATCTCTGGGCATGAGGCTCTGGAATGGCCACAGTGTGATACAAGGGCTGGGACTGATGATCAGCTGATTGTCAGTCCTGGCCTTGAGACTGCACCAGGGTCTCAAACCAGAGATTCAGGTCACTGTCAGTACCATCCCTGGGATTGCACCACTTCACAGCAGGCTGTGGGCCCCTGCTTTCAACTTGCTGGTGCAGGGGAAGCCAAAGATCATGATCCCAGGCTCTTCCTGCACTCAAAAGCAGTAATGGAACAACTGAGATCTGAACCCCACTCCCAAAACTGCACATTCTGCTACGCATGTCTGGCATGGAAGGATGTATGGTTGTTTAGATTGGGGGTTCAGATCCCATCATATCGTTAAATAAATATGTGCCAGGATTATATAGATCAGGGATAAGGGCTCTTTAAACATTCTCCATTAGACAGTTAATATATAAAAAACAAGGGAAAAGCATAGTAGAGGTAACTGAATGCTAGGTCTCTTCCTTCCCAACTGTTTGGGGAGTTTACTGTTATTTCTTATATGATGGTTGTTTGCCATTTATTGTAATCCTTTCTGGATAGGGTGGGATATAAATCTGAATCAAAATAATAATAGCAACAATAATAATAATACCGTATTTACTTGATTCTAAAATTAGACTTTTCCACCATTTAACATGGGAGGAAAAGCCCCTCATCTTAGAATCACGTACATGGATGGTGGGTGGTAGAGAAGCTGCTGCAGTTTGGGCTCTATCTCCTACCTAGATATGGGCTGGAGCCACAGCTGCTGTCTGCCCCTCCCCACTCCCTGCCCTTCCACCCTGGTATCTCCTCCCTGCAGCCTCTTCCCCACATCTGCCCACCCATGCAGCCTCTGCTTTCCCTCCACACACCCCCTTTACCTTTGCTCTATCCTGACAGGCTCCATGCATACTGCAGCCTGGGACACTGAGCCCAGCCTCAGCCTGGCCCCTAGTAGTGGCAAACAGCCCACATAGCTGTTACAGGGGTTGGGGCCGGGGGCCATGCTCTGTGACCCAAGCTAAATCAGGGTTGGAGCCTGTCCACACAGAGCAAGGTTAAGGGGGAAAGTGGGGAGTAGAGGCTGCAAGAGAAATTGGGGAAGAGGGAAGTAGAGAGCTGGAGGAGAGGAAGAGGAAAGCAGGGAATGGGGAAGGGCCAGGAGAGTGAGCAGAGGGCAAAGGATGGCCCATGGCTGCGGGGGGGAGGGGGAGGGGAGGGCAGGCAGGCAGGGGATGGATGTGGCAGGGGGCAAATACAAGCAGGAGGTAAGCTGCTTGACCTCCCCACACCACCTGCACCCTGGCTGCTTCCTGCCCTGCAGTGGGGGGGGGGGGGGGGAAGGGGGGAAATAAAGATGACCCTCCGGCTCTTAGAATCTATACATGGAAAATTATAGCAAATGTATACATTTTCCATGTATAGAATCTAATTATGGGGGCGGGGATTTAAATTCAGGGTCATCTTAAATTCCAGTAATTACAGTAATTATAGTAATAGTAAGTTGAGTAAGAGCATAACAATTAAGAAGATCTGTACTTACCTGCAGGAGAAGATGGTGCTCAGCCACAAAGTGGGGAATAGTATTCCTTTACATAGGACAGATGGTGCTCATCCACAAGGGTAAACCTTTGACTAACAGACTGGTATGAGTTCCCAGAACCTTTTCTAAAATCAATCTTAAGATATCTTTTATTTTGAGAGTTTGGCAATGCCCCTGCCCCCTCTTTTCAAAGGTGAACACACTCAGGTTATCAATTGGTGGTTGAATAAATTTTTTGGGAAGTAGTTTTGAATCCTTTCT